TGAGGCAACAGAAAAAAGCTGGGCAAACAACAGATTAACCAAAAAGCTTGAGAAGAAAGGCTGAGGAAAAAGATGCTCTGAGAATCTAGGCCACGTGCACGCTCAAGGCTGTGAGCATGGTCAGAAAAGACCTGAGAAGGACTTAAGTTCTCACCTGCTGTTGATCTTGAGGCTCTCTGGAAGCAGAAAGTAAAAGCTAAGGCAGAACTGTCAACTGCCTGACTGGGTGTGGAAGCTGAGCCCCAATACATACACAGAGCCCACGGCAAAGACTGGAAGAAATTTTGGCTACAGGCATTCAAGGAAATCTCTGTCCAATTATTAGCGGGTAACTAAGCTAATTGAATAGAGACTTCGGTGGCTACACAAAACAAAAGAAACAGAGTTTGTAGAATTAGTACAGAAAAGTCTGTAAACAAACAAACAACAACTACAATAAGCCAAACATAACAAATCCTGGAAAGGGGAGAGAATCTGATTTTTTCAGAGTCGCAAATAATAACAGTCACAATACCCAGTCTTCAACAGGAACAACGATAACGGCCATACCTGCAAAGAAACAATATAGTATGGCCCAAATAAAGAAAAAATAAATAGAAACTGTGCCTGAGGAAGACCAGACATTGGAATTTCTAGGCAAAGGCTTTAAATCAGCTATTTTAAATATTCAACAAGCTAAAGGAAACCATGCCCAAAAAACTAAAGGGAAAGTACGAGAACAATGTGTCACCTAGTTGAGAATAAATCAATAAATAGGTAGAAATTATTAAAAGGAAAAAAATAGGAATTCTGAGGGTGAAAAGTGCAATAACAAATTAAGAATTCACTAGAGGGGCTCAACAGCAGGTTTGAACAGGCAGAAAAAGAATCAGCAAACTGACAAATAAACTCACTGAGATTATCTGGTCTGAAGAACAGAAAGAAAAGAGAATTAAGAAAAATAAGCAAAGCCTCAGAGGCCTGTGGGATACCATTAAACATATCAACATATGCTTAATACGAGTAACAGACAGGCGAAAGGAGGAAGGGGAAGGGGGGTGAGAGAGAAAGAGAGAATATTGGAAGAATAATAGTCAAAACTTCTAAAATTTGAAGCTCAATGAACTCCAAAAGGATAAATTCACAGGAATCCACAACTACATACATCACAATCAAACTGATCAAAAGCTAAAGACAAAGAAAGAATCTTCAAAACAGGAAAGGACAAGTAACTCATCATGTACAAGTGATCATCAATAAGATTAACATCTGATTTCTAATCAGAAACCAGAAGGTAGTGGGATGATGTACTCAAAGTGCTGAAAGAAAAGAACAGTCAAACCAAAATTATTTATCTGGCAAAACTATCCTTCAAAAATGAAGGAAAAATTTTGACATTCCCAGATAAACAAAAAGTGAGAGAGTTTGTTGCTAGCAGTCTGGCCCTACAAGTGCTTAAAGGGACTCCTTCAGAATGAAATGAAGGGACATTAGACAGTTACTCAATGGCATATGAAGAAATAAACACCAGGATAGGTGTTTTTGTATTTACACAGGTAAATATAGAAAACAGCATAAATGTAATTTTTGTTTGTAATTCTTTTTTAATCGCACTAAAAGACAACTGCATAAAGCAAGTTACAAATCTAAGTTGACAGGCACACAATATATACAGATTTAATCTGTGACAATAACACATCATATGGCGGAAAGTTTAACACTACTGAAGCTAAGTTGGCATTAATCCTAACTAGATGGTTATAAATTAAGATGTTAATGTAATCCCTAGAGAAACCACAAAATATATGTCTGAATAAAGACCTGTATGTGAATGTTCATAGCATTTTTAACATAGTCCCAAAGTGGAATCAAACTAAATATCCATTAGCTGAAGAATGGATAAACAGTATGTGATATATCTATGATGGAATATTATTTAGCCATAAGAAGAAATGAAGTACTGTTAAATAACACAACCCTGAATACTCTATGCCAAGCAAAACACAAAAGGCCACATACTGGGGAAAAAAAAAAAAAGGCCACATACTGTATGATACCAATTATGTGAAATGTCTAGAATAGGCAAATCCATAGACAGAAAATAGATTAGCAGTTGCCAGGGAAGGGGAGAGAGGAGAATTGGAGCTAACTGCTAACAAGTAGAGGGTTATTTATTTATTTTTTTGGTGTGATGAAAATCTTGAATTAGATAGTGGTGATGGTTGCACAACATAGTGAATAGACGACAACCACTGAACTGTATGCACTTTTAAATGGTGAATTTTATGTCATGTGAAGTGTGTCTCAGTAAAAAATGCTACAGAAAGCCTACAGCTTATATCACATTTAACAGTTAAACAATAAAAGAATATATAATTTTAATAATGAAATAAAACTTTTAATAAAGAAAGTTTTGAGATTGGAAATGAAACAGAGATACTTATTATATCACTTTTATTCTACATGCACTAGAGATCCTTAGCACAAAAGAAAAAAAAAGTGTAATACTCAGAGAAACTGTTAAAATTAAAAAATAAATTTAGCAAGGTTGCAGGACACAAGGTTATTATACAAAAATCAGTTGTATTTCTATATAGCAAATATAATTGGAAAGTGAAGTTTAAAAAAACAATATCATATATAATGCCATCTAAAAACACTAAATGACCAGGAATAAATTTTTTTTAAACGTGCAGTATATACAGACAAAAACCTGTAACACATTAAAAATAATTTTTTAAAGACCTATATGAATGGATTTATTCATGGGTTGTAGAGTCAATACCATCTGGATGCCAGTTCTTCCAAAATTAATCTATATATTCAGTGTAATCCCAATTGAATATCTAAGTTGAATAATTTGTGGAAAATGGCAAGTTACTTTAAAAATTTATATGTGAGGGCTTCCCTGGTGGTGCAGTGGTTAAGAATCCGCCTGCCAATGCAGGGGACACGGGTTCGAGCCCTGGTCCGGGAAGATCCCACATGCCGCAGAACAACTAAGCACGTGTGCCACAACTACTGAGCCTGCGCTCTAGAGCCGCGAGCCACAACTACTGAGCCCACGAGCCACAACTACTGAAGCCCGCGCACCTAGAGCCCGTGCTCCGCAACAAGAGAAGCCGCTGCAATGAGAAGCCTGCGCACCACCAGGAAGAGTAGCCCCCGCTCACCACAACTAGAGAAAGCCTGCGTGCAGCAACGAAGACCCAACGCAGCCAAAAATAAAATAAAATAAATTAAAAAAAATTATATGTGAATGTAAAGTGGCAATCTTATAGGAGGAAAACTAAGTTGGAAAATTACTATACCAGATATCTAGAACATAGCTACAGTAATTAAGATTGTGTGGTATCAGCACAAGCATGGAGAAATAGATTAATGGAACAAAGCAGAAAGTCTAGAAACAGACCACATGGTTATGGACACTTGTTCTATAATAAAGGTGGCATTTGCAGAGCTGTAGGAAGCAGTCTTTTCTTTAACTGGTATTGGGTCAGTTGGTTTGGAAAACTTTTCAAAAAATATTAAACTTGATCATTACTTTACAATAAACACAAATATAAAGTCCAGGGGATTATGAATCTAAATGTAAAAAGTAGAATACTAAAGCTTCTAGAAAAATTTGGAAATATCTTTATGACTGCAAAGTGGGAAAAGATTTCTTAAACACAACACAAACATCAAATAAAGAAAAGGAAAAGACTGATGACTAAAATTAATAACTCTGGTCATCAAGACACCATTAAGAGAATGAAAAGGCAAGCCAAAGTGGGAGAAAACGTGCAAAGATTCACTTCTGAAATACATTAAAAACCTCTTTACAAATCAGTACGAAAAAACACAGGCAACCCAATAAAAAAAAAGACTTGGAAAGGCATTTCACATAGGAGAATATCAGTGTCCAATAAACATAAGAAAAAGTGTTTAAACTTATTCATCAAAGGTTATGCAAATTAAACCATGATTAAATATGACTACACACCTAACTCTATGGTTAAAAACATAAAAGACTTGACCCAGTGTTGGCAAGGATGTAAAGTAATTGAAGTTTTCAGATCCTGTTGCTGAGCTATAAATTGATACAAACATTGAAAAAAAAAAAGTATTCAGAATTATTTACTAAAGCTGACCCTGCAACTTAACTCCAAAAGTAGAAATTTACACATACGTGTACTGAAAGTATAATAGTGTGCAAAGGAAACTTACTCATTATAGTCAAAAACTGGAAACATCAATCTCCAACAAAAATAAATTGTGCTATATTTCTAAATGGATTATACAGCAATGAAAATGAACAAATTACTGCTACACACAATAATGAATAACTATCACAAATACTATATGAATAGAGGAAAGCAGATGCAAAATAGTACATATGGAATGTGTTATGGACTGAATGTCTGTGTCTGTCCCCCCATCCATATGTTGCAATCCTAACCCCCAATGTGATGGTAGTAGGGGGTGGGGCCTTTGGGGGTTCCTTAGGTCATGAGGGTGGAGCCCTCATGAATGGGATTAGTGCCCTTATGAAAGAGACCCCAGAGAGCTCTCTCACCTCTTCCACCATGTGAGGATACAGCAAGAAGACTGCTGTCTATGAATAGGAAGAGGGCCCTCAACAGACACCGAATCTGCCGGCATCTTGATCTTGAACTTCCTAGTCTTCAGAACTGTGAGAAATAAATGTTTGTTGTTTAAACCACCCAGTCTATTATATTTTTGTTACAGCAGCCTGAATGGACTAAGACAGGACGATTCCAGTTATAAACTTCAAACAGCAGGAAAAACTAATCTATGGTTAGAAGTCAGGATAATCATTATCTTTGTAGAAGAAAAGAAAGGTAGTGACCAGGATGAAGCATGAGTGTGGCTTCTGGACACTGGCAGTGTTCTATTTCTTGATCTTGGCAATGGTTAACTTGATTTACCATGTGATAGTTTACTGAGCTGTACATCTATATTTTATGTACTTTTCAGTATGTATTTTACTCAATTAAAACAAAATTTTAAAAATTTACCTGTTTTTTCTGTGTTCTGTTTTTGTTTTCCAGCCAATCATCCATTTGTTCCTCAATTTCTTCTATAGAAGTTCCATGATCATAAGATTGAATATATGTACTTTCTAAAGGCGTATATACAGGAAATTCAGGTTTTGGTTTTTTTACTTTAACTTTCTTCTGCTCTAAAAAAAAAAAAAATGTTTAAAAGAACCAATCAATAACATAATAGCTTCTAACATTTTATTCAAAGACCATTCTTAAAAGAACACATAAATATGTATTGTTCTTTCATCAAAACAGAATTGCTTTGCTATAGTTAGCTGTAAGTTTTACTGTGCCCTATCCACTGCATTGTTTTAAAATAAAACCCACAGGTGCTAATGATAGAAGATTATGATATAACCATCATATCAATTTGTATATATCTTCAGTGTTCAAAGTATTGTTCATGAAACATTTCATTATGGCATAGTGAAAAGAGCCTGGTCATTAGTGTTTTAATCCTACCTTTACTATCTAATAGTTGCACAATACTGGGCAAGTAACTTAACCCTTAGAACAAGTGTCCATTTTCTCTTCTGTAAAAGGGAGCTATATCTAACCTCATAAAGTTGATGTGAGGAGAATTATATATCCCCTAACATACTACTTGGCAGAAAATTAGCTAATAATGGTATACATTCATCTTTTCAATATTTTACAAATGCAAAATATAATCTGGCAACATCAAGGGTAGTTATCAATAGATACTTATCAAGTTATCAATTGGCCTCTCCATTAAATCCCTTTCTGATTAGAGAGTTAACACTGAGAAGTAACTTCACTCTTGATTACTACTGTCAAACTCATCCATTCTTATAACCATATCTTCTCGAGACATCCTCTGTGTATCTGTTACAATACTAATGTAATAAAATTAATATGATATTGGCATATGAAGAGACAAATTCCTAGAATAGAACAGAGAATTCATAAATATTTCAGTTCAGTGGGAAAAGGATTTATTAAATGATGCTGTCACAAATGAATACCCACTTGAAAGAAAATTGGACACAACCTTACAATATATACCAAAATAAATCCCAGTTGGATAAGAGACTTGACTTTAAAAACCAAAACAATAAAAATCTTGCAAAAAGAAATCTAAAATACTACCTGTACTATTTAAAGGAAGACAAAATCTTAACTAAGACTGAAAACCCAAATGCTATAAAAAAAAAAGATAAAAGACAGAATAAACAAATCAAGAGAGAAATAACAGATTTGGAAAGATCATCTACAATTCAGAGTACAAACAGAAGACTGATATATAGAATACATAAAGAGATCTTATAAACTGACAAGAGGATAGGCAGCCCAATAGAGAAAAATGGCCAAAAATAATGTGCATTAAGAATACAGTGTTGGGCTTCCCTGGTGGTGCAGTGGTTGAGAGTCCGCCTGCCGGTGCAGGGGACACGGGTTCGTGCCCCGGTCCGGGAGGATCCCACATGCCACGGAGCGGCTGCACCCGTGAGCCATGGCCGCTGAGCCTACGCGTCCGGAGCCTGGTGCTCCGTGGCGGGAGAGGCCACAGCAGTGAGAGGCCCGCGTACCGCAAAAAAAAAAAAAAAAAAAAAAGAATACAGTGTTATGGGAACAGTTCTACTTAACAAGGCTGTTACCTTTCTAGAAATTACATGGTATCTAATACCATATTTTATCCTATACTGCTTCAGTACTTTTATACATCCAGGCTTTTGAAATGGTGACTTAAAAAAAAAAAACACCCTAATACCAAAATAGGAAATCAGTAACTTAAGTGATATATGAGTCTAATTTAAAAGTATAAAAACATAGTGTCACCAGAGTACAATATGAGCCCAAATAGGAGGCCAGGTTTTCTTGTTTTTCAAAATTGTTTTTTAGAAAAGAGGAAGAAACCGTATAAATGACTCCTTACGGGGACTTCCCTGGTGGTGCAGTGGTTAAGAATCTGCCTGCCAATGCAGGGGATACGGGTTTGAGCCCTAGTCCACAAAGATCCCACATGCCGCGGAGCAACTAAGCCCATGCGCCACAACTACTGAAGCCCGTGCGCCTAGAGCCCGTGCGCCTAGAGCCCGTGCGCCTAGAGCCCGTGCTCTGCAACAAGAGAAGCCACCACAATGGGAAGCCCGCGCCACAACGAAGAACAGCCCTGCTCGCTGCAACTAGAGAAAGCCCACGCGCAGCAACGAAGACCCAATGCAGCCAAATTAAAAAAAAAAAAAAAAAAGATTCCTTATGAAGTTGGTCATATTACTCAAATTTTCACAATTTCTTTATTTTGAGCAACAAATTATTGCTAAGGGAAAATACACATAAACTAGAACGTATCTCATGGCTACTAATTTTGGTTGCTTATAGAGAAGCAGTTATAAAAAGGAAGCAAATAAATTTGGTTTATTTCTGGGGCATTGATCACAATTGCAAGTATTTGAATCTTTTAAAATATGCATTTAAAAAAATCACTTAAAAAATAATACAAAACTTCCACTCCTGGAAAAATGAAGAAGTACTTTTTCATAGCCCTCTCACTAAGAAAAACTAAAAATTCTAAATGTTATATATGAAACAAACAGAAGAATAATCTGAATGTTGGAGAGAAGACAGACCAACTAGGAACGGCAGGACCCAATAAGCACCAAGGTGGTAACTTCCTCTGGGTTTCTTACAGCCTCATATATCCCAGACTTGGTCCCAGAGAAGCTTGCAGCCCAAAAATACTGAAAGGCACAGAAATAATAATGGTAATATTAAGAAATTTAAAAAGCTTTCTCTTTCCAGCCAAAAGGACCAGAAAAGCAGCAGCATTATCAAGATAAACTTTTAGATTATAACCAATCTACTTCAGGCAAACAACACAGAAAAAAGTATGGCCACACCCCACCCCCCATGCCAGCGAAGGCTAGTGGGAAGCCTAGACTTCTGCCATAGTGAGGCTGTAATGAGGCACCCCAATCTCAGGGTGATGTGGGAGAAGGCTGTGTAAGAAGCCAAGCTTTCATGTCTGCTGAGAGGTGATGGGGATCCCCCTTCCCATGTGGAAACAGCAGAGACTAAGTTGGTAGTCTGGGTTTCCAAATCTACCCAGGGATAATGAGGTGTCCCTCCTCCTCCCTGCCAGGGTGGTTTCAGAGGAAGCCTGGAGGGCAATCAGGGCTTTCACAACTGTCCAGCTGAGGCACCCCTGACCCCCACAATGTCAGGGGAGGCCAGGTGGTGAGCAGTAAGTAGACATTCTTGCTTATCCCAGCCAGACTCGGGTAAGTGGAGACCTACTGGCAAGCAAGAGCACCCACACCCACCCAACCCTGAAAGGATTCACAACCAGCCTCCCCCTCAGCCGTAATACATGTCATGAAGGGAACCTGGAATTCCACTCCTACCTGACTGTAACAGGGCAGCAACCCTCCCCTTTCCACTGCTAGGCTTTGTTAGAGAACACCGGGTAAAATAGAGGATTTAAATAAGATCCAGAGTCTTATAATACCTGAAATGTCCAAGTTTTGATTAAAAAAAAAAGTCACTCATCATACCAAGAACCAAGAATATCTCTATTTGAATGAAAAAGATAATCAGTAGATGCCAACAGATGAAAGAGATATCCAAATTATCTGACTAGGATTTTAACACAGCCATATAAAAATGGTTTGACAAGCAATAATACACATTCTTAAAACAGAGGAAGAAATAAAAAGTCAACAGCAAAGAAACAGAAGATACACAGAAGAACCAAATAGAAATACCAGAACTGAAAAGTATGCTAACTGAATTTGGCACATTTTTCAAGTGCAAAATGCAAACAACTGTCAACTCAAAATTCCATATTCAGTGAAAATATTCTTCAGGAATAAAGGAGAAACCAAGACCTCTGCAGATGAAGGAAAACTAAGAGAATCTGTTACCAGCAGACCTATCTGATAATAATGGCTAGTAATCTGAACAGAAAGGAAATCATAAAAGAAAAAATTCTTAAAATAGCTGGAAGGAGAAAGAACAAGAGTAAAAATATGGGTAAATACAATAGATTTTCCTCCTCCTCTTGAGTTTTCTATGTTATATCTGACAGCTGAATGGAAATTATAACATTCAATATATGTAGAGAAAATATTTAAGACAGTTATAAGTGGGAGACATAAATGGATGTAAAGTGAGGTAATGTTTCTATATATCACTTGAAATGGTAAATTGTTTACACCAGTAGATTTTAATAAGTTATGTATATATACGATAATACCTAGAGCACCCATTAAAAACGCTATACAAAATGATATATTAAAAAAACACTATAGGGCTTCCCTGGTGGTGCAGTGGTTGAGAGTCCGCCTGCCGATGCAGGGGACACGGTTTCGTGCCCCGGTCTGGGAAGATCCCACAAGCTGCGGAGCGGCCGCGCCGTGAGCCATGGCCGCTGAGCCTGCACGTCTGGAGCCTGTGCTCCACAATGGGAGAGGCCACAACAGTGAGAGGCCTGCGTACCTCAAAAAAACAAAAAACAAAAACCACTATAGATAAATTCAAATGGAATTCTAAAAAGAAAAACATTCGAGTAATCTACACAAGAAAGTAGAAAGAAGAAAACAGAACAAATAGACAACAAAAAATAAAATGGCACACTTAAGCCCTAATATATCAATAACTACATTACAGGCAAATGGTCTAAATACACCAATTAAAAGATAAAGATTGGTACAGTGGATGAAAACCCACGACCTATGTATATGCTATCTATAAGAAACTTATTACAAATTAATCAAAACATTAATCAAAAGAAAGCAGGAGTAGCTAATTTATATCAGGTAAATAGAATTCAGAGCAAAGGAGTTTACCCAAAAGATGCCCAAAGCAAGCAGAAGAAAGAAAATAATAAAAATGAGAACAAAAATCAATGAAATTGAAAAGAAAAGCAACAGAGAAAATCAATGAAACAAGGAACTGGATCTTTGAAAAGATCAATAAAACTGATATACATCTGGAAAAACTGACCAAAAAAGTGAGAAAACAGAAGTTAGAAGTATTTTAGCACTGAAACAGGAGAAATCACCACAGGACATGCAGACATCAAAAGGATAATAAAGTGAACAACGCTAGACACATACATTTGACAATTTGGGTGAAGTTGACCAACTGCTTGAAAAGTACAAACTACCTTAATTCA